TTGGAGGAAAGGTTAAGGAATTACAGCTCTTTAATATGTACCTCCCCCCTTTTTCAAGGGACAGTTGACTCAAAAGCTGTTTCATGGACAGGCGTGGGCTATTCCTTCATTATTTCTACATCAATTAGGCAGGTAAAAGGTCTGGAGTTGATTCTAAGTGTGTCATTTGCATTTGGAAGCTGTTGCTGTGAATCCACATCATGCAGTCAAAGGATTTCTCCATACAAGTGAACAGTGTTGGGGAAAGTTACTTTTAAAAGTAATGCATATTGCGTTACTCCATAAAAAAAGTAACTAATTACGTTACTTAGTTACTTTTAATGGAAAGTAATGCGTTACGTTACTTTTGCGTTACTTTTTAAATCTGGACAGGGCTTGCTTGTTTGTTTTTAAAATAAAAAAGTTATATTTTTGGTAAATATAAAAGCCTTTTCACACCAAAAGTGAAATGAATAAGCCTCAGGCTAAAGGGAAAGTAAATTTACGTCCGTACAGTAGAATGCAGAAGAAGAAATTTCAACACACAAATGTTTGTCTAGAGTAATTTTTGCTTATTAGTATGGTTGAACTGGATCATCGAAGGTCAGAAGCAAAGACATTAGTTAACATAATGGGATTAAATACATAAAGCATATTTGTGTTGTTTAACATTTAATTATTGCAGGTTTGCGTCATATTCTGAGTTGCATTATTTTTATTCATTTTGAGGAATACTGAATCTGTGTTTCTTAGTTTTTTTTTGTGAGTGAGATGAATTAATGCATATTCATATTTATTTTAGAACTACAGTAACATCTTCTGATTTCTCTCAACATGGGGAAAGGAGAGCTGTCAATCAGTAAATTGGAAAAAAAAGTAACTTGCGTTACTTATTTGAAAAAGTAACTCAGATATTCTCTTGTAAATTAAACCCTTTCACAACGTCCAGCCAAGAAAAGAACACTCTTCAGGAGGTAGACGGGTCACTGTCAAAGTCTACAATCAAGAGAAGACTTCACGAGAGCAAATACAGAGGGTTCACCACAAGGTGCAAACAAGGCCAGATTAGACGTTGCCAAAAAACATCTAAAAAAGCCAGACCACTTCTGCAAAAGCATTCTTTTGACGGCTGAAATTAAGATCAACCTGTACCAGAATGACGGGAAGAAAAAAGTATGGAGAAGGCTTGGAACAGCTCATGATCCAAAGCATACAACATCATCTGTGAAACATGGTGGAGCAGTGTGATGGCATGAGCATGCGTGGCTTCCTGTGGCACTGGGTTACTGGTGTTTAGTGATGACGTGACAGAAGACAGAATCAGCCAGAAGAATTCTGAAGTGTATAGGGATATACTGTCTGCCCAGATTGAGTCAAATGCAGCATAGGTGATTGGACGGCGCTTCATAGTACAAATGGACAATGACCCAAAACATACAGCAAAAGCAACCCAGGAGTTTTTGAAGGTAAAAAAGTGGAATATTCTGCAATGGCCAAGTCAATCTGATCTCAGCCTGATTGAGCATGCATTTCACTTGCTGATGACAAAACTAAAGGCAGAAAGACCCACAAACAAACAACTGAAGTCAGCTGCAGTAAAGGCCTGGCAAAGCATCACAAAAAAGGAAACCCAGGCCCCATGACTTAAGGCAATCATAGCCTGCAAAGGATTCTCAACAAAATATTATAAATGAACATTTTATTTATGATTATATTTATTTGTCCAATTACATTTGAGCCCCTGAATATGGGGGGACTGTGTATAAAATGGTTGTAATTCCTAAGCATTTATGTTATATTTTTGTTTAACCCCTTGAATTAAAGCTTAAAGTCTGCACTTAACTTTCATCTTGATTGTTTTATTTTTAATTCTGTTCTGGTGGCGTACAGAGCCGAAATTATGAAAATTGTGTCAGTGTCCAAATATATATGGACCTAACTGTATTAAAAAAACGAACTTATTTCAGCTAGTTGCCAAGGCAGCATTTTTCATTATTTAGTTTACCTCGATGTAGGCCTACTAAAATAACTAAAACTGAAATAAAAATTAACACACACCTATATATATAAAGACAATTTTAATACAACAGAATTACTAAAACGTTAACAAATTAAAATGAAAACATGTATGAAAACTTGAAATGAAAACTACTCGTTTCTTTATACTTGAAATTATACTAAAATAACACTGTTAAAACAGTCTATCGTAAATTATGCTTTATGACTGAAAACAAAAACACAAAATGTGTTTTTACTTGAGCAAGACGATTCAAAAGACGTGAGTGCAAAAGGGTCTGTTTAGCACATGGAACAGAAAAACAATGGAAAAGCAGTGCAGTGGAATGCAAAAAATGCGTTCTGTGTGAAAGTACTCTTTTTTTTGATTGACTATTGAAAACGTATAATCCAGTTTGGTTTTTTTAACAGGCGTCTGGAAAAAGTCCAAGCGATTTGGGTATTTCCCTAAACTCCTTTGTAAGTCTCTGTTGAATAATAATTTCCCACATCATATTATTATGCATGTTTTGTATCATTAGCTACTGTAGCCTACTTGGCAATATACAGTTGGATGTTGGAATACAAACCCTAACCCATCAATCGACTTTCCTCTGCAGTGGATTGTGTATTGTGGGTTATGCAGTAGGCAAAGCTGCCTATGTCGGGACTTGCAGAGAAAAATTCAACAATAAACTGGGACCAGATTTCGCCAAGGGGTTTGGTCCGACTCCTCCTGGATTTGGACCTAGTGGCTGTAAAACTGGACATAAGTAAATATCGTGAGGAGTCATGTCATGAGCTTTTTGCAGTAATTTTGTTCTTTGACATATCTGTTCATGGTTTCCTTTATACAGACACTGCATCCATGTGTGTGAAAAATGCAAACAAGAAGAAGCACAAGCCGCAGCAATAGTGCCTGATGCACCCACTCAGAAGAACTGAGGTGAAGAAACACAACACACCCGTCACCCATATACCTAAACACAAAAATCCACCTCACTCAACCACACCCACGAGCTACTATTCATTTACATTCTAAAACCACATGCCCACCAAACACCCCTTACCTGGTGTCGTTCAAAGGAAACACAAATGTAATCAATGCTAATGTTAAATCTATTCGTTTTTCTGTTGCAGGTTCTCTGAGATCCACAGGACATCACTCATTACCTCGTCATTTTTTTCAATAAAATAAATTAACTAATTAAAACAGAAATCTTTAGTTCTTTTGAAAATAATGCAAAACAAAGCAGCTAAAATCATCTTGAATGGACCGTCATTCTAACTAACCAGCAGGGGGCGCCAAGACACTATGAGACACTGCAGCTATCTGGACAAACTAGACAACCTTTTTCGCAAATTGAAATAGCCTATTTCAATAATTGTGAAAAAGGTTGTCTAGTTTGTCCACATAGCTGTGTCAAATAGAAGTAACATTTTAGCACTAAGAGATGTAGTGTTTGAGTTGGATTTGAGGGAACAAGATAGCAATAAGAAATGTATGCTGTCGTAGTGTGTCAAATCTGGCATAAAATAATCCACCTCATAGAAATCAGTATGATGTTATTTTTAAGTTCTTATAATGTTATATTCCAATGATATTTGCTCAGCTTTTATTTGTTTAGAATACAGAGAAGGGAATGGAGGTTTCTGTTGAATTTTATGACAGTAAGCAGCTGCCTTTTATCAGAGTTGAATCATAATATTGTACTTCAGAACAAAGTCATGCAGATCTGACACGCACACACACACATATACAGGGGTTGGACAATGAAACTGAAACACCTGGTTTTAGACCACAATAATTTATTAGTATGGTGTAGGGCCTCCTTTTGCGGCCAATACAGCATCAATTCGTCTTGGGAATGACAGATACAAGTCCTGCACAATGGCCAGAGGGATTTTGAGTCATTCTTCTTGCAGAACAGTGGCCAGGTCTCTACATGATGCTGGTGGAGGAAAACGTTTCCTGACTTGCTCCTCCAAAACACCCCAAAGTGGCTCAATAATATTCAGATCTGGTGACTGTGCAGGCCATGGGAGATGTTCAACTTCACTTTCATCTTCATCAAACCACTCTGTCACCAGTCTTGCTGTGTGTATTGGTGCATTATCATCCTGATACACGGCACCACCTTCAGGGTACAATGTTTGAACCATTGGGTGCACATGGTCCTCCAGAATGGTTCGGTAGTTCTTGGCAGTGACGTGCCCATCTATCACAAGTATTGGGCCTAGGGAATGCCATGATATTGCAGCCCAAACCATCACTGATCCACCCCCATGCTTCACTCTGGGCATGCAACAGTCTGGGTGGTAAGATTTTTTGGGGCTTCTCCACACCGTAACTCTCCTGGATGTGGGAAAGACAGTGAAGGTGGACTCAGAAAACAATACATGTTTCACATTGTCCACAGCCCAAGATTTCTGCTGCTGGCACCATTGAAACCGACGTTTGGCATTGGCACGAGTGACCAAAGGTTTGGCTATAGCAGCCCGGCCATGTATATTGACCCTGTGGAGCTCCCGACGAACAGTTTTGGTGGAAACAGGAGAGTTGAGATGCACATTTAATTCTGCAGTGAGTTGGGCATCTGTGGTTTTATGTTTTTTGGATACAATCCGGGTTAGTACCCGGACATCCCTTTCAGACAGCTTCCTCTTGCGTTGACAGTTCCTCCTGTTGGATGTGGTTCGTCCTTCATGGTGGTATGCTGACATTACCCTGGATACCGTGGCTCTTGATACACCACAAAGACTTGCTGTCCTGGTCACAGATGCGCCAGCTAGACGCGCACCAACAATTTGTCCTCTTTTGAACTCTGATATGTCTCCCATTATGTTGTGTGCATTGCAATAGTTTATGTAAAACTGTGCTATTGCTCTGCTAATTCAACCTTCACACTCTGCTCTTACTGGTGGAATGTGCAATCAGTGAAGATTGGCCACCAGGCTGCACAAATATAGCCATGAAACCTCCAACACTATATTGGCCAGTGTTTCAGTTTCATTGTCCAACCCCTGTATATGTGTGTGCGCGTGTGTCAGATCTGCATGACTTTGTTCTGCAGTACAATATTATGATTCAAGTATAAAGTGTATATTACCTTCACAAACAAGAATCAATGTGCAGTGAATGAATTACATATGTCATAGGCTTTATTTGAAATGTTTGAACATTTAAATGTGAATTTTCATTAAAAGAATTAAACAGCAAGTATATATTTATCTCCAGCACAGAAGACTGTAATAACTGTAACATCAGTGAATGATGTCATTATTATCATGATGGGTCCAAGTCAAAACTCATCTACTCTCATAATACTACTGTTGTAATTGTCACTTGTGCACAGCTTTTAGCATTGTGATGGACTAAATTTCCAGTGGAGAATCAAACTTGATGCTGTTATTTATTACATCTTCTTCTCTGGGTTTATATGAAACAATATCATGTCTATTGTTATTATATAATTGTATTTATTTATTAGCAAATCTCAAGCACATCTGGCCAGAATTTCCTAATCAATAAAAACACTGATTGTTAAAATTATTTATCTTAAGTCTGCTTAAAGCAGGAAGTCAAGATGAGAAACGTTGTTTTTCATACCACAAATGTGCTATCAAAAGAAAATAGAGTAATTTTGCATTCATTTCAAAAATTGAGTTTTACTCCTTAAAGTACATTCAGCATTTGATTGCAGCTTTTGGTCTAATCTGGCAGAAGGAATCATGACAACTCCACAGAAGTCACTGCGTTCAGATCTTGAGCTCCTCAAACAGTTGATTACTATTCCCAAGAATCTCCATATTTGTTCTTTTTAACTGGAGGGGGAAGAAAGAAACTGGTTAACAGATTAAAACATACAAGGACACTGAAATGATAAAATATTTATTAACTATACCAATATTCAGGGTGCGAACTACGGGGGAGCTAGGGGGAGCTCGGCTCCCCTTAATAAGACATGGGCTCCCCTGAAAATGTGATTTGTGAAATTTTGGGGGGTCTCAAAAAATATTGACAATGTGTTATTTTGACGTGCAATTTCAGTTTTGTGTAATGTGATCATCATGGATTATTATTATATAAAATGGCAAAAATATCATTCATTCATGCATGAAGGCGATTTAAACCTAATTCACTTCAATACCGCAAGCGCAAACCCCCCCATAAAAAAAAAACAAGCGGGCTCCCCCAAAGTCCACGGTATAGTTCGAACACTGACATACTGTATAATACCATTCGAAAGTTTGGGGTTAGTCAGATTTTTAAAGAAATTAATAGTTTTATTCAGCAAGGATCCATTTAAATTGATCAGACATGTATAGCATTTTTCTATTTCAAATAAATGCTATTCTTTTTAACTTTAAATTCATCAAAGAATCCTCTATCACAGTTTCCACATAAATATTAAGCAACACAACTGTTTTCAACATTGATAATAATCAGAAATGTTTCTTGAGCAGCAAATCAGTATATTAGAATGATTTCTGAAGG